CTAGGTGTGGTTTCTATTGTGGTCCCTTCTCTCCTCTTTTCCTGGTGTTTGTTTTCTCTGTGGATGTGGGTAATCAAGCAGTCCTTGGATTTTGGGGACTTTTAACTGTTTTTCTGTTTTTGGTTCTAGAAACACTAGACATTCAACTCCAGAGAACCAAAAATCCCACCTTTCCACTGAACATTACATGTCTTCTGCTACATAAGTTTTCTTTTTCTTTCTCTCTGGTTAATGCTTTTTAAAACAAATGATTATTTTTCTTATAAATAAGGTTTTTAAAGTGTGAAAACAAATAGCTTTCTTAGACACTGACTTTGACTTTGGCACATGACTGGGTGAAATAATGCAATTAGGGTTTGTAAGTCCATTCACAAGGGGATAGACTGGTATCACCATTCCAGGACGTTTACATTGAATGAGTTCAGCAGCAGAAATTTGGGAATCTCAGTATTAGCAAGGAAGAGGAAACAGGGAGTACAGCACACATCCTTTGGGGCCAGAGATGCGTGCACTACCTAGACTAGAGATGCGTGCACTACCTAGACTAGGATCTACACAAGAAGAACAGCCTCATCAGAGAACCAGAAACCAGCATGAAACAGAGCTGACTTGAGCCTGCTGCACTATAGACCAAGAGCCCAAAGCCTTTACCCAAACTTGCTGGAGGACCAAGGGAAGATACTTTATCGTAAGGGACAAAGGGAATTTTGTAATACCGACCTAAGCTGTAAGGCTGAAGGTCCAAGGGCTTGTGACTATGCTTGAGAATACGTCTGGACTAAGGGATTGTACCTTTTGGCACCTCAATTATAGTCTGTTAACTTTCTTAATAAGCCCCATAACTGTGAGTATTTTTCTGTGAGGTCTGTATGGTCATTATAACATATTTCAGACCCCAAAGAGTAGTAAGAACAATGTTGGAGTTAACAGAAGCAGGTGCAGGAACATGGGAGACCATATCTGACCTTACAAGAAGTAGTTTTGTGTTATGGATGTTGTTGATGGGGACAGTTTACCCTTTGCAGAGTTAACAGAAGTCAGCTGTCCTTATGCTGCCTATACTCATCTCACAGGCGGCATGAGGAAAGGTCTGGAGGTGGGATGTCATGTAGTATATGGGAAAGATTGTAAGCCAGGAAGCATTCCTAGTGTGTAACATGGAAGGGGTGGTGGTGGTGGAGGAGGAGGAAGATGAGGTCGGAAGTAAAAGAGGGCTGCAAAGGATGCTCTGATTCTGAGCTGAGACACAATGTGACTTTGAGGGGCAGTGATGGGGGAAGACCTGAATCTCAGACTGTGAAGGTAGACCCAAGAAAGCAAGACTGGGATCCGGTGGCCCAAAGAAAGAATGAAAAGCAGAGAGAGGAACAGCCATTTCGTAAGAGGTGAAGCTGGTAAAGCGAACTTCACAACATAGTCACCGAGACCAGGGACTCAGGGAGCAGGCCAGGCTATTTTGCTGGGCAGAGAAGAGCCTGCTAAGTTCACTTTGGGACATACTGACTTTGAAATGTCTCTGAACCTTCAACTGCACAGACCAAGGCAGCAGCTGAACACAGGATTTGGATCTCATGGGAGAGATGAGGGCCAACACATGACAGTTAAAATAATAAGAAAGGCTTTTTTCAAGGTGAAAATGCAGAGAAAATCAATGATCCAAGGACAAAAATTCCATGGAATGCAAACTTGTGAGGTCCTGGCAGAGGAAACATGTAAACAGCAAATAATAACCCAAATCCACTGCCATCGAGTCGATCTCACTCAGGACTCATGACAACTTAATGTGATAAAGTCGGACTGAGTTCCATAGGATTTTCTGGACGGTCTGAGGAGCTGTGCTGTAACCCAGAGGTGGCACCTCTCTGGCAATTCTAAGCCAGTAGCATCTCTGAGGGAAAAAAGCACAACCTTCTTTCATGCATTTTATTTAGGGAGCTCTGGTGGCATCGTCCATAGGAAGTTGAGTTACTAACCCCAAAGTGGTACTGTTTGGTGATTTGAATCTACCAGTGGCTCTGTTCAAGAAAGTTCGGCGATCTCCTCCTGTGTGCCTTACCAAGTGGAGGATGAGCTATGAGTTGATTCAAACTTATGGGCAATGAGTTGAGAGTTGGGTTGAAGCCTAGCAAAAGTGGACTGCTGAGTCATTATTCTGTGATATTGCTGGGTGGGTTCAAATAGCGGACCCCTGAAAGAGCAGCTGAGTGCTAACTGCTTTATACCACCCCCAGGTATGAAGGGTCTGAGAGATGCTGAGTGCTAACTGCTTCATAGCACCTCCACGTAGGAAAGGTCTGAGAGATGAGTGTCTCAACTCACCCGGAACTCTTTCCACTCATTGTCAGAAGGTCAGAACCAACTCATAACTGAAGCTCCAGTGGGTTTTCTGAGGCTGCAAATTATACACGAAGAGAATGTCCATTTCTTGCAGAGCTAGAATTTAGAATGTTCAGAGTTTCTATTATAAGCATTCCTAATTAATTAGGTATGCAGTCTGAATACACCAGCTACTACAAAGGAGAAAGATGGGCAATCTCCTCCTCTGTGACCTACAGCATTTAAAAACCTGCTGGGAGGTCACCTATGGTATGGGTCAGTTCTGACTCAACAGTAAACAACAACAAAACAATTAAGGAACGGAACTATGATGGTACAGTCTCTTTTTAAAAAAAATTCTTTCATTTTTAAAATGTATTTTAATTGTTTAAGCTTTTTTTTTTTTAAATTGTTCTTGACCTTCTGGAAGTATTATCTGGCAACAGAGTCAAATATCACAGGATAATCTAATAAGGTAAGACCTGGGAGTGTTCACTGGATATCATAACAGGGGGCATCAGTGGCTCGAACAGAAACCAGATTGCAGTGAAATGACATTGAATGGGGACACTGAGGAGGAGATAGTCAGGGACAGTCAGGAGAAAGACAGGGCAGGAGCTACAGGGCCAGCAGGACCTAGAGATGGAAGTAATGTAGAAGGGAGGGACTTGAATAGATTTATGAACTGAGAGGAAGGAGCTGGTGGAGAGAGGAGGGCAATAGAAGATGTTAGAGAGGATTATCAACAGGGAAGACATCTGAGGAGGCCTGTGGTGGGCAGGGCAGAGCAGGCCAAGAGCAAAGGCACAAATGTGGGTCAAGAATTGCAGGTGGAAAGACTCTGTCTTGAAGGAGGGGATGGATATTTATTTTATTATGAATGTATGTAGGTTTGCAACTCTATGTTGAAGTGACCACTCTGTTTCCTCATGAATTAGAGAAAGTCTTGCTGAGAGTGAATTTTTGTAGGTAGGGGTGTAGAGAGGAATGAAGGTTGGAAAGAGGGAGATGTGTGTAGAAGGTGCTAAGAACCAAGAGAAAGGGCGTTGGTGGGGGGCAGGGGAGGAAAAGGGATATCTGAGGGTGGCCTGAGGTCAGAGAAGAAGGCACAAAGAGGCATGAATGTGCAAAGCTGTGTCCCTCTGCTTAGCAGTGCTTAGTAACCTGGGGAAATGCACAAGGTAGTCGGTGATGAGAAAGTGAAAATAAACTCAGACTCAAAGTCACGTAATAACAACAATATATGAAAGCACATTGTGAATATTGATGAATGTAAAATTGACTGACTAACTAACTAACTAACTAACTAACTAACTAACTAACTAACTAACTAACATTCCAAGTCCTCAGAACAATTCTATTCAAAATTTTTTATTTGGCTTTGAGTTTCAACTAGCATTTGTGTAAAATCTTCCACAACCTTGACTTGTACACAGATTTTTTTTAGATCAGGAAATTATCTGAGTGTATTCTATCATTACCAAAGAACATATGTGCACAACAATGTTCAATACAGCATTTCATAGTCAAAATGAGAGAAACCACACATAAATGTCCATCATTATGCCTAGTAGATGAACAGAAAAATAAATTGTGGTGTATATGTACAATGAACTATTATCCAGCCATAAAAGAGAAATGAAGTCCTGACACATACTGGGTGAAATAAGCCAGAAACAGAAAGACATTGCATGAGCCCACTTACATGAGACCGGCAAATGACCAGCATTTTATTAAGCCCGGCGGCAGAGTGTTTTACAGTGTTATGCTGGTAACCCTAAGGTTGGCCATCTGTATCCACCAGCTGCTCCATGAGAAAAAGATGAGGCAGCTGGTGCCGGTTAATATCTACAACCTTGGAAACCTGGTGGGTGGTCGCTATGATCTGCTCAATGGTAGTGGGTTTGGTTGTTCTGGTTTACTGGGAGTAGTGGGGTTTGGAGAAAGGGGACAATCAGTTTCTGTAAACGGTGTTGGAATAATTTGGCAATGGATAGTGATGATGGCTGTATAGATGATAAAGGTGACCAATTGTACTGGATTTTAGGTATAAATGATGCTGAACTGGCAAATATTTTGTTTATCTATCTAGCCATCCATCATCTATCTATCTATCATCTATTTCTATTATTTATCTATCTATCTATCTATCTATCTATCTATCTATCTATCTATCTATCTACCTATCTATCCATCATCTATCTCTATTATCTATCTATCTATCTATCTATCTATCTATCTATCTATCTATCTATCTATCTATCTATCCCTCCCTCCCATTAAACTAAACAAAACAGCAAAATATTTCTGAGATCAAACTACAAAAACATAACTCCTTGCCATCTGGCCAAAACTGACTCATTGCTGAGCCTTCCTTGGTTTCCATGTAAACTGCATAGGAGGAGACTGTCCAGATTTCCCATCTTTCTCACACAGAGAGGCAGGTGGATTTGAACCAGGAGAGAGGCACAACCCTGGGATTAGTAGCACAGCCCCCTATGAACTATGAGAGCTCCCCCGATCTAGGATATCTGGGTTTAAAATTTAACAAACCCCCAGTGCCTATGTCATTTTGATGAGACACGTCATATAGGCTTCTGGATGTGAGGGTCTTCCATGCACCATAGGCTCACACAAGCTGGGGTTCTGAGGGGACCTGCCTGTGTCACACACCCTGAACTCACCTTTTCCGCAGCTAGTCGAGCATTCGGTGGTCCCAAGCTGCTTCCAGTTGTGATCCCGGCTTCTCCGTGGGGGCTGTGGTGCTGGTGGCACCAAATGGTCCGGCCGGTGGGGAGTAAATCGATCTGGCTGCCTGACTGGGAAGGTCTGGGCCGATTCTGGGGTAAACAGTTCAGGTGTCTCCCCATGTACGTCTTCTTCCTTCTCCTCGCTCCTCTCTTTCTCTTCCTCCTGGTCCTGGCTCCTGCCCTCGGGTGCCAGCTGGCCATTGAAGGGCTCCCCTAGGGAGAGGCAAGTACAGGCACACACAGAAGCAAGATTAGTTTAGACACTGTATGGTAAGGAGGAAATGGCTTCAACATAAGACATTATGTATTGTGAGAAGATCAGTTCCAATTAACAGCAAATAAGCACAAAAATGTAAAATAAGCATGTGTCAATTTCCTTAACAATAAAAAAAAATCATTAAAATCATTAAAGAGTAGTGTATCCAGCTCCTGCCAAATACAGCCAGAAATGACACAATCCGGAGAGGATAAAATTCATGAATGGGACCTTCTAAAGATTAAAATCCTGTGCCCATGAAAAACATTTTCCAATAGAGTGAAAAGAAAAGCTACTGACTGGGAACAAACACTTGGAAATACCACCTCAGACAAGGTTCTCATATCAACTTTTTATAGAATCCTACAGGACCTCCACAAGCAAAAGACTGACAGCACAATTGCAAAATGGGCAAAAGACATGGAATTTTCACAGGGAAGATATTTGGATGGCCAACAGACACATGAATACTCAAAATCACTGGCATTAGAGAAATGTAATCAAAACCACAATGAGATATCATTTCACTCCAGTAGTAGTGGCAAGGTTTAACAGGGCAGTAAGTAATAAATGTTGGAGAGGATGTGGCGAGATGAGAACTCTTTTTTTCCCCTTTCATTCTTATTTAGTCTTACTTTTTATCTGTTCCAAAAGACAATTGTTGCAAAAGAAAGATTCAAACAACTCCCATAATCCCATCTAGAAATAATTGTCGCTCACATCTAGGATAGTAACGGGGCAGGGGGAGGATCAGGAGCCAGCACACGTGGCCTCTAATAATACCCATAATGCTCGCTCCCCACCTCACTGTGTGATGTTGGCTGAGTCCTTTCCATTCAGTCTCAGCTACTCTGAGGGAGAAAGTTGGTCAATCTCCTCCCTTGTAATTTACAGCCTCTGAAAACCCACTGGAGACTCAGCTATGAGCCAGTGAGAGAGGAACTCTAATACACAGTTGGTGGGACTATAAAATGGCACAAGCATTCTGGAAGGTAGTTCAGTGTTTTCTGAAAAAGCTGAACATAGAAATTCTTTATGACCTAGCTATTCCACTGCTTGGAATATATACTGAAAGAATGAGAACTGAGGCACAGAGACTTGTACACCAATGTTCATAGCAGCGTTATTCACCATGACATAGAAATAGCGCAGATGTCCAACCACAATTAAATGGATTGAGAATTATGGTACATTCATGCGACAGAATACTATGCAGCACGCAGGAGCAGTGATTTTGAAAATCACTACCTACCCTGGGAGGGGCTGGGGAGGATTATATTAAGCGAACTAACTTAGTCCTGTAAGGACAAATACGGTGTAAGAACATTACTGTAGTAATAGAAAGATAACTAGTAAAATGTGTTTGAGGATCCAAGGGGGTAGCGGGGAGCAGAGGAGTGAGGATGGGCACGGGTGTGGGGGTGGGAGCATAATCATAGGGTCACATCATTTAGTGGCTAGAAGAGGGGGTGGAGAAAAGAAATGGGAAAGATGTGGTGTGAAAAACAATGTACAAACTTGGTAAGTAAACCAGTATAAAATAAAAATTTTCATTAAAAAATCATTGAGGAGGAAGAAGAGGATTTCTTCATAGAAAAAGTAGTCAACAGACAGAGAGGCAACCCAGATAGTAAAAAATACAAATAGCCAAAGCTGTAAACATCCTCAGTGTCACTCATAAAATACCACTGAAGGGTATAAAAAAACAATGAAGACTGACTGAAAGTTTGAAAAATCCTGGCATTCTTCAATCTCTGTTGAAAGTGCAAGGAAACATTCTCATACATGTAGGTGCGCATGCAAATAGATGCAGATTTTATATTGCTTGCTTGGGCTAGAATGTAAATGTCTCTGTATGTATATTCTTAGACAGATTTTTTTTTTATTTTATCTTATTATTTTTGTGTGAGTGTACCGTCAAATCAGATCTGACTGGTACAGGAGATTGTCCCTCCTTCCCCGGCAGAGCATCTGGTGGATTTGAACCGTGCGCCTCTGGGATTGTAGTTGCAGCTCCTTGCCACTAGGCCACCAGAGCTCCCCTAGACAGAAGTTTTAAATTATTCATAGCACTTGTTGAGTCTACTGATGAACTCTCAATTGACACAATTGAGCAGTAGAAAAAGAAATACTTTTTCTTTTAATGACAGCTAAGACACCTCCCCTTCAAATACTCAGTGGATCCCTGAGCCGCTCCCCCGCCCCCCAGCTGTATCTCCGCTGCACTCTGTGGAAGTAGGTGGCATTCTTGAGACAGGTCAGGATCTCTTCATAGTGAAAGCAAACCCACACACACTCAAGGTGATGGACACCAACTCCTCTTCATACTCAGTATTTATTTTCAGCACCCAATCTGTGTGCTTTTCAACCTCTACCTGTTGTACTGTTGTGACTTCTTGGCCATTATATGATTTTTGTACAGGGGGGGGGGGAGTGGAATCTTGATTACAGAAATTGATGCGTTTGAGTTGTGGCACTGGAGAGGAGTCTTGAATATACCATGGACCATCAAGAAAACACACGGATCTGTCTTGGAGAGGGTGAAACCAATTTTCTTCTTGGAGGCTAGGATTTTGAAGCTCTGTCTCATGTACTTTGGGCACGTGGTCAGGAAGGACCAATCTTAGGAGGAGGACACCATGCTTGGAAGGGTGGAGGGACAGTGCAAGAGAGGAAGACCCTGGAGGAGATGGATTGACACAGTAACTGGGGCAATGGGGGTAGGTGTGGCAGAGTCAGTGAGACTGGCTCAGGACAGGGCAGGCTTCAGAGTACACAAGTTTGCTATGAGTCATAGGCAACTTGATGGCACATAAACAACAACAACAACATAGAAATCAGCATACTACTTTTTTAAATCTGGAGAGAAGATACGATGGTGACTGAAAATTGGTCAGATGTCATATATAAATGTATAAAAAGCCTTGCTATCTTGTCTACCATATTACATTAATTTTATATTTGCTGGCAATATTAAAGTTTTGGTTTTGCTTGTAGTTTTTTTTTTTTTAATCCATCCAAATTAAGGAGCACTAGTGACATAAAGGTTAAATGTTCAACTGCTAACCAGCAGTTCGAACACACCAGCTGCTGAACGGGAGAGAGATGTAGCGCCCCAGGGAGGTCTGGGCCTGGAACCCCATGGAGGTCAGCCCTGTGATACATGAATCAGAACTAATTTGATGGGAACAGATTTGGTTTTGGCCTGGAGTACGCTGGTTAAGCATTCAGAAATGAACTAAAAGTTCAGTGGTTCCAACCCACTAATTGTTCTATGGGAGAAAGGTGTCTGCTTCAGGGAAGACTGTTGTTGTGTGCTGTGAAGTTGGAACTGGCCCTCAGTTGAACCTCTAGAGGATTTTCAGGAGCAGTAAATTGCATGGGAGGAAACTGCCCATCCTTCTCCTGTGGAACAGCTGGTGGATTTGAATTGCCTGCCTTCAACTGCTAGGCCACCAGAGCATCCTTGTAGTCCAGGGACGATTACAGCCTTGGAAATCTTACAAGACAATTCTACTCTGTCCCATAGGGCCACCATGAGAGTCAGATCAGCTTAAAGGCAATGGGTTTGGTGGGTTGCGCTCTGACATTAACTATATACATGTCTTGACCTATTAGGAAATTTAACAGATACACTTGATCTTTAAAGTTTAAATACAAGGTGACCACTAAAGCAGTGTTTGTAATGGCAAAACACAGAAAAGGACATAAATGTCCACCAGTAGCACTGGCTACAAGAAGTGATTCTACAAGCATGAATGGAAGACTGCTCAGATATGAAAAGATTGCAGGAGAACCGTATGTTCTGACCCAGAGATATGTTTCTGACATGGTATTGGGTCAAATAAAAAAAGCACAGAAAAGTTTGATTCATACTCCTTTGCCTCTACATACATACCCCCACCTCAAGAGAGACAGACAGACAGACGAAGCAGGACCCTGTTTGAGATATTGTGTTTGTTTTCTATATTTGCTCTTTATTCTTCTTGAGTCAAACTCTTGGGTTTTCTTTTCTGTTTTGGTAACATTTCATATAGGCAACTGATTAAATGTTGTTATGTTGTTATGTGCCGTCGAGTCGCCTGCGACTCATAGCGACCCTATGTACAACAGCCCTAAACTCCGCTCTGTCCTGTGCCAATCTCACTGTCTCTGACA